TATATACCAGTACATTTCATATAACAACACACTTAATATAACAGTACTCTGCAAAAACCAGTACACTTTATAACATAAAATACCAGAGAATATTGATATAACTGATATATTCCAAGTACACTGCGAAATAGTATACCCGATAGTATAACACTGTAATATCGTCTACGCACAACTTAAATAGGACAACAAATGGTTTTGGGATTTGGAAAGCATAGGCAAAAAATTATGAGAGTCTATAAGCTGGTAGAACAAAAAGCTAAAGGTTGAAACTATCCATTCAACTGTTATATTAAGCGGCTAGTATACGGAATCGTTATGACAGTAATAGACCAGTACGCTCCATAATATAAGACACTATAGTATATCACCTTAATATGGTCTACGCGCAACTTTAAAAAAAAAATAAATGGGTTTAGGCTTGGAAAAATATAAACACAAAAACAAAGATTGGAATAAATTGTTATACAACAAGTAAAATGTGTCATATGAGAGTCAGAGCAAACATCCATCGCTTTTAGGCAGTTGTATAACAATATTAAACTGATATAAGCTTTTTTAATATAACACAAAATAGCCAAGATACAACTCGAATATAACCAACTGTTTACTGACTGAAAAGTTTGAGCACCAAATTTCAGCAGTAGAGATACTTGAGTACCAATGTGCTGTGGATATTAACTTTTACTTAAATTATAACAGATAAGTTTATTATACATATGTGAAACTTTTGCTAGTACTCTTACATTCTTGCCTAAGGGTTGCGATATCACAGAATTCTCAAAGCTTTTGTATAAGGAAAGGCTTTGGTATAATAAATACAGCTTTTCGGCTACAAAAAAAACTCTACAGAGCTCTTACAAGCTTTTATAAATTTATTCAAATCGAAGAAGCTATAAAAAGAAGGTTTAGTGTCGCATTCAGTTATGGTAGCTGTAAAAACATAGAATTGCCTTGCTATAAATATAAGTAGAATTTCTAGCTGATAAGACAGCGCTGAAAGTAGGCCGTAAATGTGATAATAAAATACAGTAAATAAAAACTAAAACAAATATTATCTAAACAAATCTATGTTACGCAAAAATGACTGGACCTTGTAGACTAAGAAGTCACCTATCTAAACTAGGTATTTTTAGTAGCGAACTGTGCCGCTTCTGTGAAAACGAGGAAGGGTCCTCAACGCACATCCTAGCAGATTGTGTCGCAATAGCTACGAAAATAAATTATATGGTTGGAATGAATGTTCTGATCTTGGAAGACATAGAAACCCTCAACTCGACAAAGATTTTTGCATTCGTGCAGGAGCTGGAATTGATGGAAGAGCTATATGCTCTCTCTCTGTAGGGGACACAATAGATCTGGTGCATGAATCATGAATAATAATAATAATAATGTTACACAATATTAATTATCGATTAGATGCCTCGCAAATGTATTCCTTGATAGGCACAATATTAATTTGCATTTTATTTCTGCAATTTATGTCAACTAAACCATGTAAATATAATTTATTTACCAATTCTCTTTGAAGATTAGTGGACAATTAGAGTCAACCTGAACTGATAGAAAAAATGAGTAGCCAAACAAGTGAAGAAGAGGGCCAGGGCCGATTGCCAAGAGGAAAAGCCAGCAAAAACTTGGCCAAAGCTTATCAATATGATGTGCCATAAGTATGCGTATGTCGAATGGGCTTATATTTGGGCTTAGTCGTAGGCGCTGGTAAAAGGCCAAGTAAGCCAAACGATTAAAGCGCATTGATAACAAATTAACTAGTCTTGGCCAAGTTAAGTTAAGAGTGTGTGTCATGCTTACGCAGCGTGGGATTTGCATGGCATTTTGAATTATAACAGAAATGATAGGCAGCCACACAGTGACTATGACAATAAAAGCAGTGTTGGACGCGGAGCTAAGTTTTTTGTACATAAACTAAACAAACTAAGCCAAACCAAAGTGATAAGCATTCAAAATAACTGTGAGTTAGTTGTGGGTGTTAGAGAAGTTCGCTGATGAAGTGATAAAGATTAAGGCCATTTAAAGTTGAAAGAACTTGTAAGAGATAAGCTTGAGCAAAGAGAAAGCTGAAATGTCTTTGAAAAAACGAGTCAATCAAAGATTCTGTATATGCTCAAACTTGAGGCATAAAATACATGATTTACATAAAACATTATCATAAGCCGATCTGTTTACACTTTCAACACTTATAATATTTAATTAAAAAAATATATAAATAATTACTTAGCGTCTAAAACATAAGCATATCATACAAATGTTCAATATTGACGCATTTAGCCTATAATATTTCATATTTGGTTGCAATCGAAGATATGGTTAGGGATATCTCAAGGGAAGCCATATTTAAATACAAATATTTAACAAAAATCCATAGCCTGACACAATAAATACTAAGAATGAATAGACAAGCCAAGGGAGAATGCCAGCAAATATTTTCAAAGGAGAATATTCACTTTGACGTTAAAATCAAAAGGTTTCTCGTTATTTCAAACGCTCCATCCCATGAAAACATTTCGATTAATTTCCCAACTGCTTTGACACACTTATTTATAAATGGAAACTCCCATTCCTTGGGCATTTTAAATATAGACTGAGGATTCGATGAAGGCAACACCCACGCACGACATGACAATAAAAATGGGAGCGTAGCTGACCCTAGTCAAGGGCTGACTGAGTGACTGACTGCAACCCTTATTATATGGACTAAATGCATCCATATGTGACTCAAAGGAGCTGTTCAAAACCTCGAAAATTGTCTCCAAAATTGCTAGACCACCCGAGCAACGAGGCAAATAATTAAAAGCCACCCCCTCCTGCACCCTGCTCCACACCCTCTCTCACTCTGAGACTTTGACATTGTGGAAAAGCGAATAGTCATTTTTGGAAGGAAATGAGGAAATAAGGAACGCTGGCAACAACCTTATTATTGATTTCGGCTCCGACTTGAGGCAATTTCCATAAGGAAATATCTGACTTTTGACAGGCCCATTTTGCACTGACAGTCTCCTCCATTATAATTGCCAACTAATGAGACAGCCGGAGGGTGGTGTTTCTTGAACGAATTTTAATTTTCACCAGCAGCGGTGGTAGGGCTAACAAAACGCTTTTAAAAACTTTCAACTGATAAAATAGTTTAAGGCGACAGTTTTCTAAAGTTTTGCTCCTTATTCTTCTTGTTCTATTCTACTTTCGGGATGGAGGCAATTAACTGGCCGCACATAAAAATGATAACAACAAAGGGAAGAATGAGAGGCATGAGCCGGGGGGAAGTTTAGGTGTTAGTTGGACACCCAATAAAGTTCAGACAAAAGAAAGCAACAGCAGCAAAAACAAAAGAAAGTACACTGGTCGCTCGATAAGTAGAACACTTTGGTCTTAGATGTGGCTTCAATTCTCGAATAATTAAATATATTTTTTCTAAGGATGCTCAATACAACAAAAAAGAAATTAAAATTTGTGATTTTAAAAACATTTTTATAGACTTTCTACGAATCATATATGGGAAGGATATTTTTAAGTTTCATGATTTAACGTAAACAATTTTCAAATGATCTAAATTAAACTATAATCAATAAATAGTAAGTTTAATGATTTAAGGTAAACAATTTTCAAATGATCTAAATTAAACTATACTCAATAAAAAGCTGCTTAATAAGAATTCTAGATATAGTAAAGTACACACTTTAATAACTAATTTCAATTGAATTATTTGTCAAAGGTTTTCAATAAATCCATATTCAATTGTTTTAAAATGTAAGAGAATAAAAGAATTATAAATTCAAAATGTTGTTTAGTTTAAACAAATAGAGAGAGAGAGAGAGAGAGAGCAAACTACAAATGATTTCAGTTGAAATATAATTAATGATTCAAATTTGTGGAAAAGTCTCTTCTCTGAACATTTAAATTACAATTTTAAATTTCATACGTTTTCAATAAATACAAATTCAATTCGAAGAGAATATGTAAAAATCAGCTAAATATGAATTTCAGCTGCATTCAAGTAACTAATTAATATTTGTGGACAGGTCTAATATCTGGGAATCTTAATTACCAAACGACGACTGTAGAACTAAGCTTTTAAGGGCATTGCAATTTGGGTCAAGCCAAGAGGATAATGCGGTTCGCGGCTTACACAAAGATGAAAACACAAACACAAATGCAAAACACACACACACACACATAGAGAGATAGCAAGTACCGCTAAGTTATAAAACTTTTGTTTGCAGCGTTGTTTGTGCTTCTTCTTCTTCGTCAGCTGCCGCTGCCGTTGCTGCTGATGCTGCTGCACTTTTCGGTTATTGTGGTTATTGTGGCGGTAGAGTAGGGGCGGGGCGGGGAGAGGTAATCGCGTTGAGAGGACAGAGTCCAATTAGAATGCACTGTTGCTTCAACTTTCGACTAGCGCGCGCTGTTAACATTTTGTTGTTGTTGTCGGCGTTGTTGTTTTTGTTGCTGTAAAACATAAACTGGCTGCCTTCAGGCCCGCCTACGCAGCCGCTGGACCCGTTCAACGACAGCAGCAACAACAACAACAACAACAGAAATGGCAATTGGTCGGCCACACATGTTAAACTGCGCTGCTGGCGCTGACGCTGACGTTACCAGAGCGACGCTGCCTAATTGTTAAAGTGCACAATTGGAGTCGAAAATAATTACGAGCAAATCGATTTTTTTTAATTCACATCACATCACATTACACACACACGCACACACCAACGCACACACAGAGCGTAAAATAAAACAAGTGAAAAATGCCGACTGCTGTAGTCGCAACACAACACATATCAATGGACAGCACATTTGCTGATTTTCTTTATGATTGTGCAAATATTTAAAGTTAACTTACTTGCACATAAAATTGACGCAGAAATCTCGCACTTTTTACTATTTTCGCAGCAGCGCGAACACGACGCGTTGTTGTTGCCGTTTTGTCTTTGGCGATATATGTTATGTTAGTTTATTATCAGCACATCGACTCAAGATGGCACTGTTAAGCGCTGTGTATCACTCGAAATGGTACTGTTAAGTGCTAGAACCAGGGCTGGCGCATCAGCCAGCTGCTGCTAAATATTGTTTAAAATAAAATTTAAATTGCTTTAGTTCGGTTTCTTTAAGTTAAAGAGTGCTTCACTCCAGTTTTTATTGGATTAGCTGCTTTAAATTGTTGCGCAGCTGCTTGTCCGCTTTGGTTGCTGTATGTGCGGCTTTTTGATTGACTTGCTTGCTACTCGCTTGAGTTTTGATTTTGGCTATTTGATTCAGTTGCCAATTTGTTTGTTTTTATTTTGTTTATAACTTTTGAGCACTTGAGCACTTGTAGCCCGGCTTTATTTTGTAAAGCCACTCGACATTTGTACTCACTGCATGTGCGTTAATTACGCTCTCTTCAATGCACTTTGTTTTCATTGGCAAGAAATCGATTTTTTTTTTTACTTTTTTTTTTGGCTTTTTGATTTGCTGCTCGCAATTAAAGAGATTTAAATTTGTTTCGGTTTTTTTATGTTTAATGTTTTAAACACTTTATTGAATGCACAATGGCGCACGAAGCACATCGCAATTTGCATAGTTTTTAGCCATGCATCGTTTTGCCGTTTTTAGTTAGTGTTTTAATGCATTTACTCAGAAATCTAGGCAAACAAATTCTTCCCCACTCGGAGCAGACACGAGGAGAAGCGCACGCTGTCAACTGAACTAAATTCCTCCATAAAGGATATATTGGCCATTTACGCGCAACCCCCAACAAACAACCACACACAATACACAAGAGGGTGACTCCAACCAGCCCGCACATGCGCCCTGCTCAAGCTCCCCCAAATATTCGAAAAATATGCACGCCCAACAAAAAAACGGCATTTAGTACGAAAAGATCTGTGGAGCACTCGCAGTTTCCGCCTGCTCCTCCGGCTGTCGGGTTGCGAGAATTGTTGCACTGCCATCGGTGGCAAGCAGCTGCTGCTGTGCTGCCATCGGCGGCTTCATAATGTGATTGTAGATGTTGTCGATGGTGGGAATAATGCCAACTGCTGCTGCTGCGCTGGGCACCGACGACGATTGCAACGAGCTGCTGGCATCGGATTTGATTATCGCTTTGGGCTTCTTGCCAAAGGCGAAGCAGCCACTCTGCTTGGTGGCCACCGGCGACAAGTTGTCCTTGTTCTTTGTGCTGCAAAAGGGAAATCAATAAAATATATATATTGAGGTGTCCAACAGAGAAAAGGCAGATTTGCTTTAAATACCCTTGCAGAGATACAAATTTAAAAAAATATATAAAAGAAATTAAATTAAATTAACCTTTACGATAAAATGTTTCAGCTTAAAAACTCCCACAAATGAAAATCTCAATTTTCCAGTTAAAGATTCAAAAACAATCATTGAACATAGAATTCTTAAAATATATTGATATAACATATTGCTTCAATGAAACCAATGTAAAGGAATTTTGAATATCTAAACAAGTTTCTGATGATTTTATTTTTCGAAAGTACTGATTCCCATTTCTTAATACTGTTCAGAATTAACGGTTTTGAAAAAGATATCTCTATTTGAAATATAATGCTAAAGTGTTGAAGTACTCTATTTGAAATCTAATACTTTAATTAAAGCAATTTGCAATAACTTTTCAAATATTAAAAAGTAAAACGGAAATGTCTGAAATATCTAAATTGAAAAAGTGCTGATGCCAATTTCTATATACTATTTGGTATTCAAAGGATTAAGAGAAGACTACTCCACTACTCGTGACCAACTTATAAAGATCTCTGCAAGGCAGTAAATTTAAATGTCTCATAATAAATACGCACAATGCTTTTAACGCCTCCAGTTTGGGTATATTGCGATTGTAGGTTTTGGCGCCACCGGCTGCTTCCTGGGCGGCTAGCTCCTCGGGATGCGACTTCTTTTTGTGTGTGCGACAATTGGAGCCGTTGGCAAAGGTGCGATCACAAAAGTCGCAGGAGTACGGCTTCAGTCCGGTGTGCAGGATGAGATGATTCTTGAGGGCTTTCGCCCGCTTGAATTCCCTGCCGCAATAGTCGCACTTGTGCTGCATCTGGTCCGTGTGCACCAGCCGATGGCGATTCAGAGTGGGTCGCGAGTTCAGTTGCATGCCGCACTCGGGACAGATGTACTTGTGCGGATCGTGCGTCTCCTTGTGATGCTTGAGACGGCTCAAGCTCTTGAAGCACTTCTTGCACACATCGCACTCGTACGGCGCGTAATCCGTGTGGCTCAACAGGTGCTCCTTGAGTGCATTCAGCGAATGCACCCCGACGCCGCACTGCTCACAGATGACCGGACGCGGTCGCTCCTCCTGGTGCATATACTGGGCATGCGACTGCGCTGAGGCATTCGTTGTGAACTTCTTGCTGCAACTGGTGCAGGGATACATCTTCCGCTTGGGCATAGGCAGATGCTGTTGCATGTGCCGCTGCAGCTGGTAGCGGGAGCGAAACTGTTTCTCGCACTGCTCGCAGCACAGTAGCTTCATGTCCGCTGTGCTCTTCTTGTCATGGTACTGACGCATGTGCCGCTGCAGCGTCTGGGGCAGAGCGTAGGCACGTGGACACTCGTTGCACTGATGCGCTTTGCCACGCTCCTTGGATTTGGGCTTCGGGCTGGAGGAGTTGCTGTCCTCATTGCTGTCCGCGTTGCTGTATGCATCGCATAGATTCAGAAGCAGCTCAGTGCCCGCATCTTCGTATTCCAGCTGCTCATCTGCAGCTTCTGCTGCTGCTTCCTCCTCCTCCTCCTCATCCTCCTGCACTTGTTCCTCCTCAACTTCTGCTTCAGCTGTCACCGATTCAGTTGTAGGCTTCTCTTCGATTTTGCTAGCCGGCGTGAGCGGATTTTCCAGCTCCAACACCGTCTCGTCCAATTCATTCAGCTTGGGCTTCTCTTCCACATAATGCACCTCGGTAAGCGTCTCGGGCTCTGACTGCTCCGGCAGCTGCTGCTCCTCCTCGATCAGCCCAAATCTGCCGCGCAACTCCTGCACGCTAATCGCATCCTGCTTGGGTGTGCTTTGCAATATGCAATAGAGTTTCTGCACCCGCGTTATTCGCTCTGAGAAGTTCACCAGCGAGGTGACGAGTGTCAGGCATTCGCTGCATATCATCTCGGGCAGCTCCTCGCCGCGTGTTATCTGCAAAACAAGGCATATAATGGACGCACAACGGATGCAATTAATTCACATCAGCATCCACTTACATTCACCCAAAAATATTTGCCAATGGCTGTGGCCAGAGCCATGTCGGCAATTGGTGCAATTGCAGCAACTTCCTGAGCATCGCCATCCCGCTCGCCGCCTGGCGCTGAGTGTTCGTTTTTCAGGAACACATTGATGTTGCCCTGAAGATCATCCTTGGCGCAGAGGCGACACCAAAGATGCCAATCGCTGGCGCATTCATTCTCGTTCTCATTCTCAATTGGCGCAGCCATTGCAGTTTGTGGCAAGTTATGTGAGTGCAGCACCATTTACATATTTAATTGAGGTCTTAAGCATTATACACTGATATTTAAACAATTTTCTAGTTGGGAAAATGCCAACAATAATAACTTTGTGATTATTTTAACAGCTGTTGGCCTGCAATGTGCATATCGATAGCATGCTCAAATCGATAAGCGGATGTAGAGTTAGATATCGATAGTAGTTGTAACGATACAACTCACGATGTGAACTCATTTAGATATACAGTGTCTCACAGCTCATCTATAACAGTGTAAAACCAAATAAATACATTTGGTATTCTGATAAAATAGTACACATTTTTAACTATTTTTTCCCACTAACTGTCAATGTTGAACACCAAACTGACAATCATTCTCTTTCCATACAGGGTATATTATTCTCCAATTGTGAAATTGTGTTTAGTTGCGTTTAGTTGATAAGGCTGTTGCAATCATGTTGGAGGCACGCTTGGGCAGCACAACGCTGCTAAAGAAGATTGTGGATGCCTTAAAGGAGATACTCAGCCAGAGCACCCTCGATTGCAGTGCTTCCGGAATACAGGCAAGCAGCAGAATCCATTTCCCATTCGAGATAATCCCAAAGCGATTTAATTGCAGCTGCAAGCGATGGACAATTCACATGTGTCCCTGGTGGCAATGTCGCTGAGTAGGGAGTGCTTTGAGCGGTATCGCTGTGACCGGAACGTGGCGCTGGGACTGGATCTGAAGTCGCTTATGAAGGTGCTGAAGTGCGCCAGTGGCGATGATGCGGTCACAATCAGTGCCGCCGACAAGGCGGACAAGCTGCAGCTGAGATTCGAGTCGGCGGGCAATGAGCGTACCGCCGACTACGAGCTGCGTCTGCTCAATCTGGAGCAGGATCATCTTGCCATCCCCGAGACAGATTACGCCTGCGTCGTCCACATGCCGTCCACGGAATTCGCGCGCATCTGTCGCGATTTGGCCACGTTCAGTGAGTCCGTTGTCATCGCCTGCAGCAAGGATGGCATCAAGTTCTCCGCCAGCGGAGAACTGGGCTCCGCCAACATTACGCTGAGCGAAACTAGCAAAGGAGATGTCAGCCTGCAGGTGGAGGAGCCCGTCACGCTCTGCTTTGCCGGGCGCTACTTGAACAGTTTTACCCGGGCAACGTCCCTCGCGGATAAGGTAAAGATTGGCCTAGCGGCCGATGTTCCGCTCCTGGTGGAATACCCCATCGAGGATCACGGCTATATTCGCTACTATCTCGCGCCCAAAGTAGATGACCCGGATTGAGTACAATTTGTAACGATATGTGCAATATTTGTTTTATTTATCTATATTCTTAACCCTCAATTATTTTAAAAGGAAATATGAGATTTAAAAAAAAATTGTGACGGATAGCTGTTAGCGAGCACTAGGCCGAAACACTGTGGTGGTCGTCGATAGGTCGATCAAGTCAGCTGTGCCACAACAAAATTGTAATAAATAATTATTACGCAATAAGTTTAATTAAACAATGATGAAATATCTCAGACGACCGTTACTGATTTATTTATTTATAATAATATCGTAAGTTAATGGAAAATGAGCATTACTCTAATTTATTACAAAATAAATTATGACTATTTTATAATTTCAAAACTTGTGAATGATTGCGCACATCACTAACTGTTATCGAGTGCCAGTTGCCATGCCTATAAACTGTGGCGGTCGTCGATAGGACGGTCAAGTCAGCTGTTCGCCACAACTTTTGGCCCGCAAATCAGTACAAAATTGTAATCAATAATTGTTAGGTAATAAGTTGAATTAAACAATGCTGAAATATCTGAAACGACCACTGCTAACGCTGCGCCAGAGTGCCACACGTGCGCTCAGCAACAGCACTAAAACAACCGCAACAACCACTGCTACTGGCGGCAGATTGATTGAGGTCAACAAAGCGCTAAATGGCTGGGAGGCCAAGCTGAAGGACGCCGGAGTCCAGGATACGGATTTCAATCTCAAGTGCATTGTGTCGCATGTGCTGAAGCGCAAATTCGTGAGTAATAAAAATAAGCTACATTTAGTAAATTTAATTAAATGGGATTTCTTTAGAACACTGTGCCGGATGATTTTTCCCAGCTGAAATTTAACTCAGCCCAGTTGGCTGACTTTGAGAGGTTTCTGGAGGCACGCTGCGCCCGCATGCCGCTACAGCATATCATTGGCGAATGGGACTTCATGGATATAACGCTGAAGACGGCGCCTACAGTGTTCATACCGCGCCCCGAAACCGAGGAATTTGTGCGCCTCGTCATCGACAATTACAAGCGGGCGGAGCACGTGAATATGCTGGAGGTTGGCTGCGGCTCGGGCGCCATGTCGCTGTCAATGCTGCACGCCTTGCCCCAAGTGCAGGCGACGGCCATTGAGCGCAGCAAGGCGGCCACCGCTTTGGCCTGGGAGAACGCCAAGCTGCTGGGACTGCAGCAGCGCTTCGAGGTCCACAATCACACCATGGAGACGGACAAATATATGCCGGAATCGCTGCACGACAAGCGGTACGATTTAATCATCTCAAATCCGCCCTATGTGAAGACGGATGAGTTTCAGTATCTGCATCCCGAAGTCGTCGTGTAAGTATAGTCATAATACAGTAGTCATTCGCTAACTAGAACGGTTCGAGAATAAGAATCTTAATTTATAATTTATTTACGTCTCGAATCAGAATGGAAAACTTGGTAAATTAAAATCAGTAAATAGAAATAGAAATGAAAACAAAACCGTTCCAGTTTCTGAGCGATTACTGTACCAGGAATATTGTATATCTTCCATATTCATAACTCTCTCCCTTTATAGCTATGAGAACCTTAATGCTCTGGATGGGGGATCGGATGGTTTGCGTGTGGCTCGATTGGTCTTCGATTTGGCCTGCGTCCATTTGCGACCTGGTGGCAAACTGTGGCTTGAACTGGGCAATGAGCATCCGCCGCTGGTAAAGACCATAATGCATCTGCAGTACGAAGGACGACTCAAGTTTGTCCAGAGCTATCAGGATCAGTATAAACGTGAACGTTTTGTTCAATTGGAGAAGGTATAAGCTGAAAGGGAGTTGACCCATTTCATCAATCGACTCATGACATGATTGAGGCAATTATAATTAGTCGCAAAATGCATTTATCTGTGATTTGACCTGCCCCACACACTCCCACTTATAACTGCCACAGAAGCTTATATCCACAGGCATCGTAAACTATCCCAATATATATATATGAATCATTTACTTATTGCAATCGAGTATTTCGCTCCCGGCGAATGCAAATGCTAATTCCACAGCCACAAAAGGAATTCCGAATTAATGCACTTAATTTCATTGGCTGCCATAAATCATGTTAATAGCTACGAAATAAATCCGTAATAGTCACTATAATAACAATAACTAATATTAAATCCGTGGTTTACGCTCTGTGCACAGTGGGTCGAGAGCGCTTCAAAATGTAATAGCAAGATGTATGAATTATAATTTCAAAATTTAATTGGAAGATCCTTTGAACGTAAAGTTAAGGAGCTAAAGAGTGTTATAAATTGATTTATAATTAATAGTTTGAATCGGACCAAAATCTTAACAAGTGCTTTATTTATACATGATTAATTCTTTGGCAACTAGATAAATGGTTATTTTATTCTGTTGAAAACTTCAGAGGCATTAACAATAATGCAAAATAGTTTAAATATTAAATATATCAAGAATAATTTTTTTAACAGCTTGAATTTTAAATTAAGCTTTATTGAAAGTGCTAAAAAAAATTGTGTGATTATTGCTAATAAGCATTGATAGTAAACAAAATAAATGGCATATATAAAATATCTTATTAAATATGAAAAATATAATTAAATGCTATCCAGAACTTGTTTATTAATAGTAAACCATATATTACTTGCAAAAATAAAATCAACTTGACTCTCATTATTTATACAGTTTCATTAGCATGAACAGTTGTATACAACTCGTTCCACTGTGCAATACTCTTGGGTATCGCATTGGTTAGTTATTTTTTTCTTTCGTTATTTTACCGTTATCAATCGGGACAGCTGTTGGTCTGCTCTAAAATATTCGACAATCATTAACAAGCGACGCATTTAACACGAGAGCAATGTCACAACTGACAGTGGGTGGTACCGGGTGGCGGGGCGAAATGTGGCCAAACACTTTTTGTTCATTTTAGTAGAGCGAGAGAGTGAGAGAGAGAAAGATAGAGAGAGAGAGGTGTGCGAGTGTGGGTGGGAGGGGGAACGTGCGCACATGTTGAGCGTGCTGCTGCAGTAGTCTGGGCACACTTGTCGCTCATTAATAAAAGTTTGCCAAGCAGCCAAGCAACATTATATTTGCAGGTATAGAGACATTGACCAGCAGCAGCAGCAGCAGCCAAAGCTGAAGCTGAAGCCGAAGCTCAAGCAGCAGCCGTGGCATCCCACGCTGCTGGCAACGCTGCTCTGCTCAACTGTAAACATTCCAGTGAGCATAGCTTTCACTCAAATCAATCTTGAGCCACAGCATACACATGAGATGAGACTAAATGGGAAAGAGAGAGAGAACGAGAGTGAGAGCGAGATTGAGAGACTGAGAGAGATGCGATGCGAAGCGCTGTGCGCCGAGTGAGTTTTGTTTTCGGGATTGGAAGCTTCGCCTCTGTGGCTGGCTGGCTGCATGGCTTTTCCTGCCTCTGCTCCGGTCCATGGTCGTGTGAAAAGCTGCGTTGAGCGCATTAAGTCGTTAGGGTACAACCAGACAGGACGCACTTTCTCGCAGCTGACGCGTTTGCCTTGGCGTTCGTCAAGCGTCCCAACTGCGCCCAACAGTTTGTGCAAAAACTAACACAATAAAAATAAATAAATAAATTTTGTTTAATACAAATCTATTTATTCATTTCAAATATAATCACAATTTAAGAGACGCGCGAGACAAAAGGTGTTCAGATTTTACAAAAGAAAAATACGTGCGTGCTCCGCGACCAACAACAGCAAAAGTAACAGCAACAGCAAAAGTAACAGCAACAGCAAAAGTAACAGCAACAGCAACAACAGAGCAACAACAATAAACTTCTCTATTGCCTTTTTGGCGTCTCCCGCGCGAGTGTGTGTCCATGTGTGTGTGTGTGTGTGCATGTGTATGCGTATTTCTGTCTGCGAGTGCCTGCGTCTGCATGTCAATGTATGTGTAGCAAAACTTCATCTCAAGTGTGTTCACACCAACAACAACAACAACCACAACAGCAACAACAAATGCAAGCATTCTTTTTAATTGCTGCTAAAAGCATGCGATCAATAAATTTAAACAATTTGCTTGCGTGCGTGCATCCAATCAACGTTTAAGTCTTTACTTAACAATTTCAAGGTAAACAACAACTGCAAATTACTGTTAGCAATTTTCACAAACATTCCCGCCCCCCTCTCCCAATCCACATTCACTCTATTTGCCATGCTGCACTTTTCATTTTGGTGCAACAGCTGAAAAGTATGCTATGATTTTCTCTCTCTCACAGAAATACATAATTGTTGCGCCTTGCTTAAACTGAGTGTGGAGTGAAAATGGTACACATTTTGTATTATTCACAAAGTGAGCAAGCAAAATAATAATCGGAATTTCACAAGAAAGAAAAAAATACACAACGAAAATATCTCATGAATATAATAAATAATATAAATACTTATTTATTTGCAATTTAAACAGTCAAGTATATTTTGTACAATTTTATTGACAAACAGCTCCAAATTCTATTTGGTCTTTTATTAACTTTTGTTTGCAGCACAACACGAATAATTTTCGCTGTGGTTTTAATTTCAAGAATTTTGACATTTGTGGCAAAACAAAATCTGTGTCGTTGTTTTAGAAATGAGAATTAAATTAAAATCTTGTTTGTAGCTAGGCTGGACCACATTTAATAACTTTCAATTGGGACGAATTTATAGCGGGAGAGAGAGAGAGAGAAAGAGAGAGAGGGAGAGAGAGAGACGGTTTGTGTTTATATGGTTTACAATTTATGAGGCATACTAAGTTTTGTCAACAATTTTATGTTATTTTATTATTGCTTATTTGGATTGCCATATTGATTTTAATTAAAACTTCGCTTATAGTTCGTCAAATAAATATATTTGAACTCTGTTTTTGCCTGTAGTATTAATATATAATTACAAATATGTTCTGGCTCCAGGTCAAATTTTGTACTTAATTTTATTCAATATTATTTTCAGTCTTTTGGATATCTGTTATTTCCAACTTAAATTGATCTATAAATTTGTTATTTAATTTTTATTCAATATTCTTTTCAGTCTTTTGGATATCTGTTATCACCAAGTTAATTCGATATATATCGATATAAATTAATATATTATGTCAGTTATTTGTGTTATAACTGTTGCGTCTGTCAGTTGGCACAGTTGGCACAGTTGTCACTGACTCAAACGAACTGGCAAAGTGACAAAAAAAGTGCTTGGCATTTTCTAGCTGTTGCTGTTCACACAATATTTTATTTATGGTCAGCTATAAAAGCAGCCAAGTGCAGCCAATTATTTAATTTATATAATATTTCGGACACAATTAACTTAGTTTATTGTGATAAATTAAATGTTAAATTTCAATTCATTTTGTGTAGAAATAAATATTGCGAACCGATTTCTATTTAAATATTGCGTTTTTCGTTGCTTGCCAGTTGCAGCAGAAACTGCTGCGATAATTAAAGTTTAATTATAAATTGCAGTTTCATTGTGTCGAGATTTCGATGTTCACACATAAAATGCACTTCCGTAAAGTCTTTTTTGGCAAACCGATTGGGTTTGAGTGTGTTAAATTGGTTTGGGTTTTGTTTCGTTGCGGGTCCACATGCAATTAACTTTTGAACTGCTATCAATCAGTTCGAGATTCATGTGAGAAACTTTCACACTGGCACCGAAAACACCCTTCCCCACCCACACCTGCCACCTTCCCATTCGATTTGTCCAAGAATGGCAAGGAAAACTTTTGCGCCAACTAACAAATGGCTAAATCGTTGCCAAGTGGGCGTAATGTGTAAGTGTGTGTGTGTGAGTGTGTTCATATTTTCTATAGTATGTTGAGTGCCAAATTGTGTACACAACCAAGCACACATGCACACACACACACACACACTTGATGAATTTCCATCAATCATTTAGCCTGACTTTGGCCCAGTTTAAAGACCGCCCATCGGCACCTCGAACTGAGCTGAGAATTTGTTGAAGCTGTCATTTAATTGGATTTATTGGCATCGAACACTATAAATAAACTATTTAAAAAAAAAAACCCTCTCAAGACGTAATAATTCATTTTTGAAGCTGTCAATTAACATGGACATTAATTAAATTTTTTTTATTTTGAGTGTTGCAAAAAAGCACAACTAAGTTCGCTATTGTGTAAGCAATTGAAATTAATTAAATAATTTAACTTCCAAATATATTTTCTTTATTGTTACAGTAGCTTAAATTGATTGTACATATTTTTGAGCAGTTTTATAGTATTTAAATTTAACACTCAATAACAATATCAAGAAAATACTTTTATAAATAAATATTTAAATTGAAATTAAATTGTAAATCCATTTGACAATTAATGTTTAATTCATTTATGTATATATCAAATCAAGAGTAGTTTAGTTTCAAAAAATGCACAATCATTGTTCAATTCTTTGTATTCGCACTGAAAAGCAGCCAGTTTCCATGGCCAAAAAGAGAGCTTATAACAATTTCTTGGAAACGACTCGAAGGATTTGTTTTACTTAACTGGCTCTTGCTGAAGTAGTTATGTATCATTGGATTATATAAGAAAAGGAGCTCAATGCATGTTTTTGCTGTGAGTCTCATTCGAATCGTTTAAATAAATGTGTCTTTAGTTTAGCAGAACAATTTTTATTACGTAATTTTTTCTTGTATGACAAATTAACCATTGTAAGAAATTGTGCCATTCTTAGAAGAAAGGATATAAATTATAACTAAACAAGTAAGATTATAGAAGTCGAATTAGACCGACTACGAGGTACCCTGAACCCAGCTGTTAAATATATTATTTTATTCTAGTTTTATTGCCAATTTGCCATTTGCACACTCAAATGATATTATATATATTATATACAATATTGATATTAGCGAAACTGGCTCAGATATCGATAAAAAGAAATAGACTCGATCTGCACGGGATATACAACAATATATATTCCAATATGTATATTTAATATCTGAGATCCGCGTGTAAATACAGATATACAGACAGGCGGACATTTCTATTTCTATTTCGACTCGGCTGTTGATCATGATCAAGAATATATATACTTATATTCTTTTCTTCTTTTGCCTGTTTCATACATTTACACAAAACAATTCTACCTTTTTTTTCTCCCATTTTTAATGGGATTCGAAATATACAGGAGTATACGGAAAATACTTGAACTGGAGCCAACGAAAAACATATTTAAAGTAGAATATTTAGCTAGCTGCTCAGTGCTTCTTAATACAGACAATTCTGGAACTAATAAGATAGTAGTTTTTATTTTATCATTCTCTATTTTTATAATTGATTATGTCACCTAATCTAGTTTTGTACAACTGATTGCCTTCAGCAGATTGCAGCTGCTGTGTAGGGTTGCCATTGGACTCCATCTAAGTTTGCTGATGCTGCTGCTGATGATGATTCTTCAACATCTTGTTCAACTATTCCTTGTCACTGTCATCTATCAGT